TAGTTTGTGCTCGCTTTGATTTGTTCTTCATGCCACCTTCGATGTCCAGTTCAGCGTAGTTCAGCGTCGTGACCCGCTGTACGACTAAAATTCCTTAGCCATCAGTTTACGCACCAAAATCCAAATCAAGTTGTTTTAGGAAAAAACAATACGAAAGGTAGAAAGCCGATTCTTAACCCATTGAAATAATTATTTCTGCCATTGTTGTAGCTCAATTCACATGTTGCAAACGTCCGACATCTTTGACATTAAATGGTGCCCGCATTTTTAAGCAGCGGTTGCCAACATACGGAAAGATTGTATCGGGAGTCAGGAACCAGGAGCCAGGAGCCAGAGTTCAGTGAACAAAATGACTTTCCGACATTCTCTGAGATTATTTTAATTTATTGTTATTGTATGCTGATAAATAATTTAGAATTCCAAATCTATTGGCAACTTTAATCAGACCATGGTTATAAAAAATCCGATGTCTTCTCAAACTCGGAGATAGAAGTCGTTTTGTCTTCGTGTTTTGGAAAGAACTATTTTTTCTATTTTAGTTGCACGTGAAATAGCAGCGAAGTGAAGCCGGATGTTGGTGCAGACCAGTTCAAAGAGACAAATAAAGCGTGAGACACGTCCAGATTGGCTTGCGACAAGAATTCCATTTCTTTTCATACTGGAGTCCCTTCTCCCCGGGGAGTGTCCAAATTGCATACAAATGCCCTACCCTGCTGGCACCAGATTTGACTGTCATAAACAGTGAATTTTTATCTCGCACGGTCTTTTGGGGGTCTTATAAAGCCTAACTGTGGCACTAATGTTCCCAAGTAGAATTCAAAATACACCACACTTTCACATTGAGTTAGATATTTTTCTCAAACAACCGCTTCCATATGTTTAACACCCTTCCGACATTCCCTCCGAGAGATACTGCAACTGTAATACTTCGATTTCAAATTTCCCACCCTACCCAGGTAAGGTCAATTTTCTCGTCCTAGACATCGATCTCGGAAGGGCCTTTTTGCGTACTCTTGGGCACCAAAACCAGTTTAGTGCCCAGCCGTGTGCAGTGCTGAGGCAGGCAGATGTTGAATTATGGACAGACACAACAATTAAGTTACAGACGTTTGATGTTCCGGTCCGTGCGTGGTCGGAAGACACCCAGTAAATAATGCCCATGGGGTTGCCCAAGGAAAATTTGGGTTTTACGAGAGTCGAACTGCAGGAGGTCCTTAACGAGGAAAAGTGCGGACACATCTACTTTTTGGAGTGAATGTACTGCATGCAATTTTTAAGTTACAATATACTGTAGATAAATCTAATTTGTGTCTAAAGTTCCTCTCATACCCCGAGTAGCTTAGGACATACAGGGAACGCAGAGATCAGACCATTGCATCATGGAAAATTCTCAATCAGACTGTCATCGTAAAAAGTGGTCGCGGTCGCTTACTGGATGTGGATGTGTTCGTTTACAGGAGGTTCCAACTACAAGCGCCTTGACTTGATAATATATTTTGTGCTTTGAATAAGTGATCGCTTATTGGGAAGTGGTCACTTAAGTTGGGTGGTCGCACGTAGGTTCGACTGTGCCTCGTTAAGCGAAAATTTGTTAAAATGTAAGAGAAATCCTAAAATTGTAATACAGTGGAAGCTGTCGTACGAGGGCGCCCTCTGGACGAGAAAAAGGTGTCCTTAACTGGATCTGGCCACTTACAAGAACGAATCTTCGATGCAGCATAGTTATGCTAGTGGAATGCAGCCACTTTAAAAGTGGTGTAAAGGTTAGATGGCTGCTTACGGAAGCTCCTCCCAGCTACAAATTAACACTGGTAATAGCAAGAAACTGTTTTTTAGTGTATGGTTACGCTGATGTTCTTGCCTTGTTGTAATTTAGGTAAAAGCATACAATTAGTTTGTATTTTCAAGTGTAACCGGACGAGTATGTCAAAAAACGGTAACTCTGAAACGGATATATAAGAATGATTCATAACAGTGACAAAAAGCCATATGACTGTGGACATGATATGAAAAAAAAAAAACAGCATTCAGAGGCGGATAAGATTTCTTTCGAGTGTCTGCTTAGGAGAGCTTTAAATCAAAGCTAACATCTAATTCGCCGGTAAACCCTTTAAGTGTCCGCGGCCGCCTATGGGAATGTAAAAATCAAGAGTTTGTGTGGGAGTTGAAACGGGATTTTGTGATGGCTCGTAAGTAGAGCTATTCGCTATATACGAGAGTGTCCGTTAAGAGAACTTAATCTACTGTATGAATCCGCAAATGACAGCTTAAATGAGAAGTGAATATAGTGTATTAGTCTGTGTTCAAGAAACTGTTCTCTTACACCTTCCTTATAGCCAAAGAAGTCTAGCCGACTTTTTTTTGCAATGTATTAGTTTTTTGGGTCTTTTGTATTCCTCAGAAGTTTTTCCTCAACACGTTTATAAACGGTTATTATTACATTTTTGTAGTCAATAATATACCCAGATACAGATACCAACCTGTATAGTTTTAAGACTACGAGGATTAAAATACAACTAAGTAAGTAATTATACCCAGTGGCAAGTCTTTACTCGTCTAAAAATTGCACGGTACGGTCTGACTACAAAAAGGGCTATTATGGACCATTATTATCATGGTAATTAATGTCAACATCGAATAAACTCAAAATTTCAAGTAACACGACTTTCACGACCTATTTTCAACACACCAGTTATAACAGGATATTGGCGCGTACAACAATAGATAGCGTATTCCGCATTCCGGAGTCCGGTAGTCCGGCGTCACAAATTCCATCTTTTTGGCAGAGTCTAAAGTCAAAGATGGAGGGTGTTCGAGAAGGTGGTTGTTTTCTGTAGATATAGACGGATTGTCAGTGATCCTTTTTGTCCTTTGAGAATGATTTTGCTCTTTCTGACTACAACTTATTTCAAAGACTTCGAATGTTCGGTGAAAAGCCGACACTTTTAATTTTGCAATGTTTCAAGATGTTTCGATTTCATTACCTCGTCACGAAGTAACGCCACAAAGGACCAGACGAAACTGGAGCAGCAAATCTGGACTAAAGCACCTGAGGGACGTGTATGTAACATTTATTCACTATCTTTTATCCTTGTTGGGTCTTGTTTCACCTACAAGTTGGACCGATCGAAGTTTTGAACTAACTCTTTTGCTCCTTGTGTTTACTCAAGCGTTCCATAAAATATCCATCCAAACGTCCATAAATAACACAGAAAACATGCCTCAGGTGACACGTTCTAACAATTCCGCTATTAGTATCGATAATGACGCATCTGATTTGTGACTTCTCGTCAACTTTGTGCTATTTTTGTTTAAAAAAAACGAATGTTACGTTTCTTCCAATTTTGGTCCAATGACAAATAAGCGTTAAGTCAGATGTACATAATACGTCATTATTGATAAAGTATGAGATTGCCCAAATATTTTATGATTGATTTGATAACCTTAAAGATGTCTTTCAAAGAATATGTTAGAATTAAGTAAATAGGTTGTTGCTCATGGGAGATGTTAGCCACTAAAATCCCCTAAATTTAGGGTTTGGTCAAAACAGTGAGAAGATGTCCTTACTTTAGGCTAAATAACAGGAAGAGATCGAATTAGAGAGTAAAAATAAATTACTGAGCATTAAGTTTGATAAACATAGAAGATGATAAAGTTGATTAGATTTGAAGTCTTCTTTTCTTCTTGTTGAACAGCCAAACCAAGTCAGCTAATTAATTATGCAAAAATGAGTAGATTTTGTCGTTTTTACGGGGGGTCCCTGTAAATCCCAGGGAATTCAATATTGCGACCTTATTTTTTGTCGAGGTTAATATCTCACCACACCCATCAATTGTGCCAAGTTTGAGCGAAATCCGTGATTTGAGCATTATCACCTCCTGCCTGGTTCTCTCATGGACACACTCTTAAATACTCAGACTATTCAGCTTGCCCGAAGTTACCAACCTGGATCTCTGAGGAGCTACATTGTACATGATGTACATTAGTGATAAATGTAGTCATCTCTTCAAAGTTTGGCAACTTGCGTTAAAAGTCGCTGGCCCGATTGGTCACTCTTCACGAACATTGTGGCGGCATTATCCACTCGACTTCAATAATGATTTACAAGTAGAACCAATACGGCTCAAACATCGTTCCTTTATTCAAACACTCTGTATCCGTTTGAGCCCCAATATCCACATACCAATTCTCCACGCTGATCCCATACATTTTTTCAAGGAATAAGTTGAGAGAATTCGATAAAAGATCAAAGCATTATTTCTTTGATGATCGTTTTGTTAATGCTCATAACTTTCTCTCTGCACTGTTTATTGAAACTGTTAAGAAAAAATTCACTTTGGCCACTCTTGGGTGTTAAAGATTAAAAGCAAGATTTTAGTTTGTGTATTCTCCATACTGTTATCCAACACTTCCTACTGTATTTGTAAGGAGAATTTGTTTAACAATCAACAGTCAATCAACCTTTTTCACCAGTTGATAATTACCCCTTTTCCCTTTTTTTTTCGGAGAAATTAAATGTTGGACACTCTGCCTCATAGAGGTTAAAAGGTTTTAAAGGACTTCCAGCTTGTACATAAAAAATATTTTGATCAGCACTGCTACAGTAGCTCGTTTTAAAGTGGTGTAGAAATAAATAACTTAGAAATATATCGTGCAAAAAGGACAATGACTTTTCAAGTTCTTTGCTGTCATTTATCTGGTTTGTTCCAGTGCAGAGCTCGTCCCATCCAGTAGTCTGGGACGAGTAGTTTTTCTTGCTGGGCAAGTAATCTCTTAACACTTACATGTACATGTACTTGCCCAATGGGCACAGCAGTACTTCCTTCCACCTCCTATCATTGGCACCTTCCGTCCATCTTTGTGAGCTCAATTTTAATCACTTACTTGTTCCAATTTTGTCAACCCTGACGTTTATTTCCCAAAAAGAAGCTGGTAATCACGGCTACTTCTTTGCCAACATGATAAAATGACTGTTACCATGAAAATGAATACTTGAAATCTCATTCTCTCCAACGATGGCCACACCCGCAGCACTTGTAGAAAGTTGTCATGGGCTCATCTGCTGATCGTGTTTGAATCTGCATAAAGTATGCTCTATTGTGTTCACACTTAGGACAGCGCTCTGTTAATTATAAAATACACAACAATTAGTGTTTGGTACATAGAAGAGTTCTATGATTGTGGCTACCAACTTTACAAACACACAAGCACAATACACAATTTATTCAAAACAAGAGTTTTAGAGTTATTATGCCGTCGATCGTATATGGTAACTATATCAGTATGGGGAGGCCTCACAAATAAGGAAGGTTTTAAGGCATTAGAAGCACTGCATTGTAGAGCTGCGAGAATTATCCTTGAGCTACCTTGGGAGATATCTAATGCAGATGTTATGAAAAAGGCTAATTGGTCTTCTTTAGCCTTTATGTATAAAATTAGCTTAGCTAAGCTTATGTATAAAATCCACAATAACCTGACACCAGACGCTATGTCAGCTATTATTAAGAACAATGATAACATCAAGCGATATCAACTTAGGAAGAAACTGAAAATTGATGTCCCTCGTTTTAACACCAACTACATGAGGAACTCTGTAGCTCGTAGAGGAGCAATAGTTTGGAACACGTTGGTTCCTCAACTTAATGACGATATAGACAATGTTAAGAAATATGCGATTATGGCAAGACGGTCAAAGGCTCTGTTACACCTAGATTTCGACTGTATCTCCCCTCAAACATTGACCAGAAGGGAGGAAGATTTTAAGTATAATTAGTGTTAATAATTAGTCGATACTAGAGTACCACCTAGTACTTTAGAATCTTAAGCTTTTATCGTTTTAGACTTGTAAGTAGCTATATGATTTTAGCTGGTGTATATCCTATTAATTTAATTTTCTAATTCATTAGTTATCTTATTTAATTATTTAGACACGACCCCACAAGCGAAGCGTCACTTTAAATACTTATCGTGTATAAATAAAGATTATTTATTGATTGATTGATTGATTGAACCCAACAAGGGGGCCTTTGGGTGTCAATATTATAAAGATAAGTTTAATTTGAAAAGGTATGAACAGTAACTTTGCTTCAGTAGGTGAAACAGAAGTACCATATTTTTTTCAGTTATAAATCTAAAAATAGATCACTAAGTATTCACAGCTATAGAAAACATTTTTTTCCTTTCTAATACCTGTGACTTTTTAGCTTTCCTGTTACTTTTCCACTTTTGTTCACATAGGTGAATGGCGATAATTGGCAACCTTGGAAACCATGCTGTTTTAATAATAATTTATTAAAGTGAACATCACCAAAAACCATAGTTGCAGCTTATAGCCATGTATGTTTCCTTAATTTTCAGTTTCTTAAGTTGTGAAATTGTAATGAAAAGTTTAGGCTACATCTTACAACTGAATGTGCGTTATAACCGAAAGTATACATTAAAAACCACCTGCTTAGCTCAGCTGGAAGAGTGCCTGACTTCTAAATGGGGGTTGCAGTTTTAAACCCACGTCAGAAGCTGACTGAGATTTTTAAAAAGACCTTACATTAGTTCAGAAGGTGGTATCATTGGAAGGTTACAGGAGCCATTGGCCCCACCCTCTCTAACCTTACACCTCTGAATTCAAAGGGGACATTTTGTTACTTACCCTCTGTAGAGTCCACATTCTCCCAAGCTTCTTTCCCACCCAATACATCATCAACTTCCTTTAATTTTGGGTACTTCTTGCTAGATATCTGATACAACAGAAATCAGTCAAAACATGAACTTTCTTTACCATAAAGAATGTATTTTAAAAGCTTGTACAATTTAGATCTGTGGTACTATCAAAAACTCAACCTTTTAATGCAATCACAATAAACATTAATAACAATAATAATAATAATAATAATAATAGATTATTTATGTAGCGGAACATTTCTACAAGCTCATGGCGCTTTACAACAGTAAAAAATACCAAGATTGAAATTCAAAAAAAAAACTATGTACAATAATTATTACAATTTCTCTTATGATTAAAATGTTTCTTACAATATAACAATTAAAAAATTCAATAAATAAATAAAATTCTTTAATGATTGCTAAAAAATATATAAAATATAACTAATAAAAAGCTTCTTCAAAAGAAAATGTTTTTATTTGTTTTTAAAAACATTTAGGGATTGGATTAACCTTATGCTGTTAGGTAATGCATTCGAAAGTCTGGGGGCAGCCACTCGGAAAGACCTGTCTCCATAAGATTTCAGACCAGACTTTTGTATGAAAATGGGATTGTTTGAAGAGGATCTTAGTTTTTTTTTTGTTGGGGTACAGCACTCAAGAAGATCAACAATATATTTTGGAGCCATGCCATTCATTGCGTTACACATAAGGAGTAGTATTTTGTATGCTATTCATTGTTTGATTGGTAGCCAGGGTAATTGACAAAGTACTGGTGTTATACATGTATGTTCTGAGCTTTGAGTTCTGGACACCAGGTGAGTAGCACAGTTTTGAACATACTGTAGTCTATCGAGAACTGATCATGGTAACCCATACAGAAGTGCATTGCAGGGGCATTTGCCTGTCTTGTCAGTCCTAGGGGTGGGGCATTTGCAAATTTTGCACTGCCCAGGGCCCGGGCATTTGACAACCCCGGGGCCATTCCCAAGCTTTTGACACGCATGCGGTTTCCTATCAGAATATAACTACACAGAGGGTTTTGCTGGAAAAAAAGCAGATTGGCTCATCTGTCAAGGACAGGACTAAATTGAAGAAGGTTGTAAAGGCATGTTCTCGATTTTATACATGCATTTCTTCATTGCTTATCAAGCCTAAATTACATAGCGAAATTGGAGCTATCGATGTGAATCAACGTTTTTTGGTTATCGAATCAAATTTCTGTTGATATTATTATTTGAAGAACATCCTTTCATATTTATAAAACTATTGATAACATATAACTTTACAGTGCTCTATTACATATAATTTTATGTCAATAATTTTATATCAATACTAAAACCATGAACTGGTGCATGTCGTCGTTAGAATCGTTAGAATCCTAGCGCTAGCACAAAGGAAGACATTAATTGAAACAAAAAGACGAACCTTAAAATGCTTAAAATGGCACTATTCGACTGTGCAATCAATGAAAACTGTTGCAGTGTTGACAGAGGATGGGGTATTTGACCTCTTTTTTCGTCCCCACACTGGGGGATTTGACAGCTCAAGATTCCCCACCCCCAGGAATTTACCATCCAAGGCAAAAAAAATGCCAATGCCTTTGGGGGCTGGGCGCAGGTGGAATTGACTGATGCATAAGTGGAAGAAGACTCTTTTGCAGGTATTCATAACATGTTTCTCCAAGTTGAAATGAGAATCAAACGTTACACCTATATTTCTAGCACTACTTAAGACTTTGATGTTTTCGCCAGCCACGCAAACACCCTCAATAGCTGGGAGGGCTTTGTGCGCATGCAATTAAATTGACATACCGCCATTATTATCCTTCATGATCTATCAACCACTCGACCTCTCCCCTTATGGGGCTTTTCAGGGATAACATAACATAACATAACATAACACTTTATTTAAACTCGAATTTTAGAGTAGCTAACAAGCTAATATCTTCGAGCTGACACTACATAAAAACTATATAGAAAATATATATATACATTAAATGCAAGGAAAGAAAATATCATTTACAATTCACTTTTATTTCAAGTTTAAGTATGTCAGGCAAAAAGAATCTACATGAAGGTAACATCCTGTATTTTAGTCTTAAAGTCTGCAAAAAAACTGGTACGAAAAAGGTCTGGCAGTGCATTCCACTGATATTAATGAAAAAAATAATTCAAATGGAACATAACATTGTTAAGAATCCCAACTGGCAGGAGGCGAACCAGTTGGCTATTTTACAAGCGTGGCTGAGGATTTGAACTGACAGGACTACCGAGAAAAAATCCAGCGATAAGGCTCTAGAAAATATGAAGCATTCCAACATGAATCCTTACCTTTTTTGTGATGTTATAAACGTACGGACAGGTTTGACAAGCAAATCTATAAAGTGAAGGCCCTGAGCCTTCCTCTACTGTTAAAACATTAGAGCAGGTTGGACAAAATAACAGCATTCTCACAACTTAAAGAGTAAAACTCACACTGAAAGTGCAATGGCTAAGAAATCATTACTATGTTGATGTATGTGAAACCAAATGTAACCGTGTGGTTTTCCGCTGACCAAACTTTCATGAAAATGAGCCGGTGCTAATATCCCATGGGAGGAAAATGCATACAACAGGGTGAAACCGACTTTTTTTTTGTTTTTTTGGCTATTTCACCCCGTTTTTGCCTTTTTCCTTCACTGCGGAGCCTGTTGCATGTTTTTTTAACCCTTTCACTAGAAAAGTGTTTGATAGAGTTTTGTAAGGTGACTCTAACTTTTCAGTATGTGGACGAAATCCTATGATGTGACCATTCAAATGAAAGCTCTCTCCCTGAACTCACACTTGGTGCTATTTGTTTTCCAAAATGTTACGAAATGCAATTTGGAAATCTGGTCGAAATTTTTGGCTATATTTGTCAGTGAAAGGGTTAAAAAAAGGAAAAACAAGAGGCTCTCAGACTCTCTTTTCGTAAATCTGCTGTGCTTAACTGCATGGAGGAGGAAACACACAGCACATTTTTGTTGGAAGGGGTTAGGGGTGTTGAAGGTGGAGGACGGAGCTTCCGTTCATATGTCGGAACACGCGTTTAGTTTGGCACTGAAGCTGGTTTTATGTCAGTCGTGGTCAACAGTTCTTAGCTGTATTCCTTTATTTTGTCCAATACACTACTAGATCTATTTTTGTAAGTATTGCCTCCTGTCCTATTTCCTGTTATTCAGTTTCATCACGATCACGCCCTTGATTAACTAATGATAATTAATACTGATATATGAAAGAAGCTACTTCTAACTAAATTTGGGCAAACAAGAACATAACCTTTGTATTCGACACTGTAAAAGACGGGGCATGTCAATCGCAAGTGAGATCCTCTCCCCTGCATGGGGCCGATGCCATGCTGACTTGATGCGTTAGGTTTCAGGCCATGTGGAGTTTGGTAGTGTGCGCTTCCTAAATTTTGGTCTTTATGATAGATTAAATAAATATTAAGTGCAAATGAACTGACAAGTAACATGTACAAATAGCCCGAAATTTACTGAACCGACATTTGCACCCGCCCCCATCCAAAAATCTTCACCAATCGTCTATCAATTACTTCCTCGATACAATTTCCTCCTCATCATCGGCGTCAGTTTCGGCCATGTGCAGCCGCTTAAACAATTCAAGCAGCTACAGCTGAACTTAGAGTTTCTCTTTACGCCCCATAACCCTAACTAACTAAGCATCACCGTCTTACACGTTTACATCGGTTTTCAAATTTGCAACTTATGTCCGGAAGTGTAGAGACCAGAGAGACGAGACGCCAATGTGTTCTTGATGTTAATCGTATTACATTAGCCGGAAAAGGAGGAAAGCATTTCTGTTCTAAGAAGGTTTATAGGAGTTATAGGATGGGATAGGAAGTCTGCTAAAGAGCAAGAAATCTGCTCTCGCAAGCTAAAAACTGAAGTTCATTATTGTTGTTGTTGTTTGTTTTTCATAGTACATTAACCCATACTCCTGAGCGCCTCTCGAGTTTTACACCCTTTCTTTAGCCTGTTCACAGACCCTCTAGTTCTTGAAAAGTCCGCCGACCGCGCGCGTTGAAAATACAAGCAGCGGGAAATTAAATGATAGCTAGCGCAAGGGGATAGCAAATGGGGAAAGAAGAATGCAGGGTCTATGTACAGGCTACTTTTTTAAAAAACAGATACAGCTGAATGTCCCACATGGAGAAGGTGAATGTCGTATGCTGGCCGGGTCCACCGTTTATTTGTCTAAAGGATTATTCCTTTTAGCCCCTTTTACGTATTAATTAAACGTGAGTTCATTTTTCATGACAGCCTTGTCGTCATAAAAAATTTATAATATATATATTTATTTTGGACTGGAAACAAACATAATTTTACTGTCAGAAATAGGGCTTATATCAAACAGGGGCACCCAACGACAATATATAGTTCAAAATCACCTAAACATAGCATTGTTAAACGTATTTTAGTATTTAAACGGCGGTAGATATTGGCATATTTTTATCCTCTAAAAATTTTTCATCTGTTCGGATTTCCTAGCTGAAAGTCTAGTGATCCGAAAATTATAGGGATCAAACTTACCTCAGTTTCGAAAATTTCAGCCAGGAAAAAGGCTCCCGAAATTAAATTCTAGGTGACCTTTTTAGGGTAAAAATCTGTTAAAAATGGGCAATCATACCATTTTTTAGATGTTCGAAAATCCTAGGAGAGGCAGGCAAGCAAGAAATTTTACAACAAATGTTCCGAAAATTCTAGATCTCAAATCGTCTTCCGAAGAGATATTTTCCGAAAATTGACGTTGGGTGCCCCGGTATCAATGTGCTTTGCTTTTTATAAACAAGGGAAATGTAAATATTTATCTCTGGCACAATGAGAACAATTTACGTAAGTGAAACGCGACGATTGACTGAACTTACTGTTCAGGGCCAATACTTTTAGCTCCCCGTCCCACACAAATGGCCTGAAAATTCAATACAGACAGGATCAAGCAGATGCAAGCACGTCTGGAAAAACATATACTTTTTGTTTGTGTTCTTGTTTACATTCTAATCACTTCTCGATCTCCCAAAAGGGCCTGTTCTAAGGGACCTATAATTTTGCGTAGACTGGAAAGCGAAAAATGCTAAGAAATTTTATACGGGGCAAACAAACATGCATATTGCCCTTTATCACCCCTGCTTGTAAAAACATAAATATCTTTTGTCGCGGCTAAAGACATTATTATTCCACGGTTGAAAGGCTTCAAGCATAGTTACTATTTATACGACACTCCTGACCACAAACCCCTTCGTAGACACATCCCTATCTTGACTTCCTTCAACTCTTTGACGTGCATGTACGAAGGAAATTCGAGATCAAAAGGCGACGGCGGAAGTCCATTGAGGGAGATTTTTGAAAAAATTAGAGCAGTCAGGCCACACGACACTTATGTTAGCTGTCTTAGCTCATTATCATTTGAAAAGCTTGGTCAGTGAGCGAAATTGAATTCATAATTGCTGTCCTTAGTCCATCAACCTACGCGTAATAATAAAACGACATTCGTTTTTGAGGACATGGAACTTCGTGGTTGAAATCCGCAAGACTGAAATCGATCGCCAGACATCGCTAGGAAGTCATAGGAAGTCTTCATTTTCCTGGCACACACAGGTATGACCAGATATTTAAACAAAATTTATCTTGATTCTCTAAAGAATGGACTAGCTGAAAGTGTAAACAGTGCTTTGTGGTTAAAGGGGAATAAATTCGCCTCTGAAGTTCTACGCCATTTGTTGTGCGTGTACTGACAAGAGGACCTTAGAGGGTTTCACTGTGGTAAGACCCCTTACTGATTTCAGCTTCGGTCGATCCCGGATCATCCAAAGGGCTAGTCAGTGGAAGTAATATGCTTTTATAATTTCTTAATGTGGTCTTTATTTACTTTCCCAACAACTTAGCTATCGTGTTGGTTAGCTGTTCAGCTGAATTAAGTAACCTGACATTTTCTTAATCGTTCTTTGATAGCTCTCCGCAAGAAAAAATACGTGCGCCTCTAGAGTATCCAAACAGCTGTCTAAACACCGCACGGTTATTTTTTCTTTCGATTCCTTTCATGTAAGGATACTAATTGTAGCGATGTTAAATCAAGCAGAGCTGATATTGTGTGGTTATACATAACGTAGTATTTCTTCCAATACCTTGAAGGTTGTGCATTAAAGTCAATCAAGTATTAACCGACCTCAGAAAGAAATCCGGGGTATAGGTATCAAAGCAAAGAACATTCCGGCGTTGAATTTCTATTAATAGAACAATTGTTTTTAAGTGAATGTGAGACTCAAAACACACGCAGTATCATCAAGGGAGAATCATTCTCATTCTCTCTTGCTATCATCTTTTCTTTATGGATATGAGGTCCTTTCGATTAGACTAGAGTATTCTATAGAGTATAAAGTTCGTGTGTGTCTTTTTAAATAAACACTTGTCATGACTTGACACGCCAATCTTATCGCTTACGTATTATAATTATTTTCGGGTCGGCAACAGGAAAGAATGACAGACTTAGGATCGCATCATACGTGGCTTGAAATTCCAAGGTCGAGCTCATATTCACTCTCGTTTTAGGGGGTGGGGTGGAGAGGGCACTGCTTTTTTTGGGTCTAAACGACTATGTTATCATTGTGTTACGGTTTTCAGTTACTTATCGTCTTGCACAGGGTGTCTCTTCGGACCGGGCCTGGGTTGGTCAAAGATGAGAGTAAGAAAATCCAGGTTAAGTGCAAAATTTGAATTCAGATATGAAAGCTCAAAAAGCAAATTAAAATAACTCCTTTTTGTCTACAATTTGAAGATTGGATGCACCAAAAATATTAGAGTAAATTTTCGAGAAAATGCTTTTAAAAAAAAGAACTTAAAGAAACCCGGATTAAAATTCAACCCCGGGTTAGCGCTAATCGGCCAGGAAGACTTAAAAAGAGTGAGGAAGGTTCCCCAAACGTGGTATAGTGGTTTTCTAAATGCTTGTTTTATTAGGTTCGCTAAAAAGCTAACGTGAAGCGCGAACACCTTGTATTATTCTTGGGCTGCATTATTGAAAGTCTGGATCGATTCGATACCTTTATAATCCAACCATATTTTACGGCGATATGACAGCAATTCAACTGACAAACTTGCGGTCGATAGTACTCTTATTTTTACTCCCCCTCCCCCCTCTCTCCTCTCTTTATCAATGCTTTGTTTGAAGAGTATTTCAAGTTTTAGCTAAACCCGACACAGCAAAGTGAGGGGGTTGAAACAAGGGAGTAATGCCACCAGGATCGAGCTCGGGACCTCGCGCACCGAAGGCCGCGCACATCCTTACTCCTCTCCTCTGAGGTGTGGACACAGGCCTCCCAAGCTCACGTTACGAGCGTGTTATGTAAACTGACTTTCTCACAAGAGGATGGTGTTGCGTTGCAAGCAACCGTTGAGAAATAAAATACTGAGGTCTGCGAACGCTAAATATCATTATTCTTACTTATTTTTCTATAAAATAAATAAAGGAGACTTACCTTTGATGTTTTCCTGTGTTTTTGTTTGACCCCTGTCAATCTGTTCATAGTAATGAATTCACACCCAAAAACACAGGAATGCATCAAAGGTAAGTTTCCTTTATTTATTATATAGAAAAAAAAGTAAGAATAATGATATTTAGCCTTCGCAGACCTCAGTATTTTATTTCTCATACAAAGTTTCATCGGTTCCTTGTAACGAGACACCGACTCTCTTTTGAGAAAGTTAATTTACATAACCAGGTGCTGGCTCCTGACATAACACACTCGTAACGTGAGCTTGGGAGACCTGTGGTGTACCGTGTCATATATATTTAGCCATCGTTAATTTTCGGGTGGAGAGAAGCGACGACCGGAAATACGTCTGTGCCCACAGGCTATGTCATATTCAAGTACTGGTTTCCTGAAAATCGTGCAACGAAATTGTAAGTAAGCGAATCAAAATGCAATCTGATTTGTGAATTAAAACCTGCTCTATTGCCATTCGTTAGTCTAATCATAAATGTAATTCCTGGACTAAGAAGGTATCTGGAGGGGAATCAAAGGAGTTTTAGGGAGGGTATTTTTGGACCTCGGGTCCATGTTAAGTATTAAAAATACAAATAGACGGGGAACGCAGGGTTTTGCAGAAAACTTCCCAACCGGTCAGTCCCCGAGATCTCTATGTTCATGGTCAACCCACAGTGGGAAATGCAAACATGCTGCGGGCGGAATTAAGCTCTAACCCACTTAGAATGTAATAAAATAATTTAAAAAATGCTAATTTACTTTTTTAAATTTAACATTTTATAGATCCTTGACGAGGAAATTACAATCAGCTCTAATGCAGCTTCAAGCGCCTTTCTTGAGCTCTGCAATCAACATGGTGATCGTTAAGGAATGCGCCTCTGTGTTTCAGTTCGCCCTCTTTTTCGCTTTGATGGTGTTCACCTGTGAAGCAAACAGCCACTCGTCGTCAGATGCTCCAATGCAACAATATGGATCACTTTCTAGATTGGCACATAACGCGCTTCACTCCTCAGAGTCTGGTGTGGCTAGAATTGATGGTGATGTCTTTCTAGGCGGACTGTTTCCCGTTCACGCTAAAGGAAATGGCTCGGCATTCTGTGTCGAGATCAACGAACAAGTTGGAATTCATCGGGTTGAGGCAATGCTCTACGCCGTTGACCAGGTATGTGATTTTTTTTTTAGTTGATTACTGAAATAAGATGTAACACGCTATTGTAAAATTCAAATGCCCTTGGAAAGAAGCGCCGAAAAATAAACTGAAGTTACTCGCTATAAAAGAGGTACTTCAAACACCAATACTTTTCGTTTTAAAGTTGCCACTTAAAAAAGGATATCAAAAAGGGTGGTCTGCGCATCATAAATACATGAATTTTTGTCTTTCTTTGTTTATCTCTAGAAAACATTCTCACGATAAACACAAAAACCTACTCACACGTCATTTCATTGCCGATGCTTAAAGATCAAGCAATCACCACTGGATTTTTTTTTAACAAGCTAGGCTGTATATATTTTTTCTTCAAAAGCGGTTGACTACCTTTTGGTTGAACGTATTTTTTCCCCACCACTCATTAAGCTTTGTGCACACGCAGACCTTTTAATTAGAAATCGTCTTTTTAAAACTGGTTCTGAAATGAATCTTTATTTGGTCTGTTCGGCCTCTTATTAGCGAAAACCACTTGAGGAAAAAAACAACAATTTCAACGCAACATCTTTCTCCAGAGCTTATGTGAAGAAGAAAAAATTTTTATTGCCGAGTTTTATTTTTACAGACGACATCTGCAATTGAGCAGATTTGAATGAGCAGATTTGCATTTGTAAACTATAAGAACTAAAGTTTATTAAGGCTATTTTTGAAGTTTGATTGTCAGATCTTTATCAAAAACAACACTTTTTCGTTTTCCACAATCCGTTTATCGTTTCAGTCTTAATTATATTGCAGGAAACATTTAAACAACCTGACTAGCTTGTCTCCGTTTCCCTCGCAGAAATTTCCAGTCATCAAATAATTTAAAGTGCACGATTTATGCTATTAGTGTACTGTTCAGCGAATTGTCTTTTTTCAAATTGGTTTTCTCGCCATTCATTGTCGTCATCATTGCACAGTGGGTCGTTTAATTTCGCTGTTATGACGTCACAGCAGGTGTATTTAATCTTCCTTCGATTTTGCCTGTCAATTTTTTTTGTTCGGAGAGCGAATGAAATAAAGAGCTATACATGTCGGCTTTTTTTATAACAGACAACTTTTGATTTTTTTTAACCGAATTGATATAATAATACGATAGGTTTTGGCAGGTCGCACATCAACTGTGCGAGGGAATTAATAAACGGACGGCAGTTTTAAAAACAAGTGCAAATCAATGGTTTGGTAAGAGAATCTCATTTGGGGTGAATTTCCTCGTCGTGTAATTTTTACGAGCCTACACGCGCAAATAAAATAGAGGGGATTTACGAAAAGCGGCGCCTAAACTTAGGTTAAGCGAGGTTTCAGCTTTTACGTTTACGGGTAACCTTCTGTACATTGCCTCTATTTTCAGCTCAAGGGCGCAAAATTAACATGCGTACGCACGTGAAGATTAAGGAGGATTGTAAATACTCCTTCAAATCCTCCCTCACACCTTACTAGTTAACATAGCAAAGAAAATGAGATTAGATGAAGTGAAAAGAGTCACTGAAGAACACTAGCTAGAGTGACCAACTACTTAAGTGGGGGCAGGGGGGGGGAGCGGGGCGAGGTTTATGTTTTCGATAACTTTAAGTTAAACCTCACTTGAAAAACTGTTTTGAGTGCTTAGTAAGTAGATAAAGCTGTCCTTTTTTGAAGAAACAGCGGGGTAGCCAGCCCACAGATATGTAATCCCGGGCCTACAAATTTTTGGTTTGATTAGTCTACCACTTGTAATAAATTATGCGTTGTTGGGGTGAGCTAAAAAGCTTATGAGCTCAAAGTGTTGGTGAGGTTAGTGCGTACTAGCCGTGCGTGCAATTAATTTTCAGGATATGTGGAAATGAAAGTCAGCCAGGCCTACAACTAGTCGAAAAGCTGGATACGCCACTGAGAAATGTAAACTTAAGTTCAAAAAAGTAAATAAATGAGCGCTGATTTCCTATATTCCTTTACGAGTGCGTAGTGATTGTTGATGATGTTTTGAAATTACCAATATTGTTTGGCTAAGTACTAGTCACTCTATATTGCTATCTTTCTATAGAGCTAAAACGTTTTTCGCATCAACTGAATTCCAAAAATAATGATCCAGTTCTGTTATTGAAGACTATATTTGGGCATTGAAACTGTTTCATGTCATCTGTTGCAACGGCTGGCAAGGATGGACATGGATTGAAACTTGAAAAAGTTGGGTCATGTTTTTAGGTTTTCGACCTATGACTGCAAAAAATTACCACACAATATGATGACTGGTGTTCCCTGATGAAATTTCTTTGATATCATCGTCATAACTCAACAGGAGCGTTTTGTGTATGGGTAAAGACGCTGAGCGATGAATTCAGCACAGAATTGACACATCCATGTGACATAACCCCTTAAAGCCTGGTTTTCATATGCCGCCGGTAGCGCTTGGGCTACTTCTCAGACGAATGAGAACATGCGCCGCCCGAGAGCCATCGCAGAGCTTTTACCGCCGGCATGCCTGCGAAGTTGATCTCGAGTCAACATCGCCGATATTACGGCTGTAAGGACTAGGATGACCAATGTTGCCGACCACTTCTGTCCACGTATTGGAACAGCATCCCAAGCAGTTTCGGCAGCCATGTCGCAGGTGTATCAGCGGCATAAGAGAAACAGGCTTTTTTTACAGCTGGCCTTTAAGTTCAGTCAGTCATATTTTCAGGTTTTTAGATCGAATGCAACCTTCTTTGTATGTATTAACTTCGCTATTTGCTTTTAGCCTACTGCTCTCCTCTCAATTAATGCTTTGTTTGCTTCTCGATGTATGTGATTTTTTTGGTTTGTTTTTTGTTTTGCTTTTTTTCTGCGTGTGTGGTTTTTCTTTGTTTTGTCACTTTTTACTTGTATTTAATTTGTTGTTTGTTAAAATAAAAAAAATCAAAGATAAAAAAAAATTTCTTTTCCGCTAGGTGAATAACAACAGCCATCTCCTTCCAAACATCACTCTGGGAGTAGAAATTCGAGATGACTGTGGAACAGTGAACACAGCTTTGGAACAATGTTTGAACTTCTTTGTGGGTACTCTGGCAAATAACGAACAAATATGCAGCTTGTCAGATAGCTCCTTCAGGGTGCAAAGAAGGGCTGTCCTGGGAGGGGTAGTTGGGCCATCCTTCAGCACCACAACCATTCAGGTCAGTATGACATGTATGTTGGCAGACTCTATGTACTCTAAGAAAAGGACGTTAAAACTCTTGTTGTAAACTTCTTGATTTAAATTGAGATATGCCTTGGCTGTGGATGAAACTCTATGACGTGACCTTTCAAATGAAAACTAGCAGTACTTTCACATGGTCCTATTTATTTAGTATGTAGCTCAAACTTTTGAGTCTGTGGATGAAATCCTATGGTGTTACCATTCAAATGAAACCTCTTCAGCAGTACTTTCACATGATACCATTTATTTAGTGTGTAGTTCAAACTTTTGAGTCTGTGGATGAAATCCTATGGTGTTACCATTCAAATGAAACCTCTTCAGCAGTACTTTCATATGGTTCTATTTATTTAGTATGTAGTTCAAACTTTTGAGTCTGTGGATGAAATCCTCTGGTGTTACCATTCAAATGAAACCTCTTCAGCAGTACTTTCACATGGTACCATTTATTTAGTGTGTAGTTCAAACTTTTGAGTCTGTGGATGAAATCCTATGGTGTTACCATTCAAATGAAACCTCTTCAGCAGTACTTTCATATGGTTCTATTTATTTAGTATGTAGTTCAAACTTTTGAGTCTGTGGATGAAATCCTCTGGTGTTACCATTCAAATGAAACCTCTTCAGCAGTACTTTCACATGGTACCATTTATTTAGTGTGTAGTTCAAACTTTTGAGTCTGTGGATGAAATCCTCTGGTGTTACCATTCAAATGAAACCTCTTCAGCAGTACTTTCACATGGTACCATTTATTTAGTGTGTAGTTCAAACTTTTGAGTCTGTGGATGAAATCCTATGGTGTTACCATTCAAATGAAACCTCTTCAGCAGTACTTTCATATGGTTCTATTTATTTAGTATGTAGTTCAAACTTTTGAGTCTGTGGATGAAATCCTCTGGTGTTACCATTCAAATGAAATCTCTTCAGCAGTACTTTCACGTGGTACTATGCATTTAGTATGCAGTTCTAACTTTACAATTTAATTTGTGGATGAAATCTCATGGTGTTACCATTCAAATGAAACCTCTTCAGCAATACTTTCACATGGTACTATTTATTTAGTATGTAGTTCTAACTTTTCAATTTGTGGATGAAATCCCATGGTGTTACCATTCAAATGAAACGTCTTCAGCAGTACTTTACTAATGGTACTATTTATCTAACTATAGTTCTAACTAAATTTTGAGTCTGTCGATGAAATCCTGTGGCGTGACTGTTCTAATGAAACTTTTCGGAAACATCCCATATTACAGTTATAGATGGAAACGATGTAGGAGTTGACCTTGTTTTGACACAACCCTCCCTGTTTCCTTATGCACATGTATGCTAACCAGTATTTTTCAAAAATGCTTTCTATACATAAAAAAAAACATAGTAGGTTTGTACCAAAACAAGGTCAGCCTCACATTTGATTTCACATTCACTCGAAGGCTAGGGTAGTAAGCTGACGACAGTGAAAAGGTCTGTTATTTTGCTTGGTATCATTTTGCAGTCATTTGACTTTTGTTCATGGCCACTATTACGGCAGTGAAAATCTTACTCTGGGAACAGAAGAACGGTGTTAGAAAGGCACCCAGAGTTCTAATGACGTCATTGTTAAGTTTGGCTGTGTAAAATAATATTTTTGTTTTTTGGCAGAGGATTTACGGAAAGAAATCTTAAGAGCCTCCCCCACAATTTTCCTTATTTTCTAGGTTGCTACTCTCCTCCGTCTCTTCGACGTTCCACAAGTTAGCTATGCTGCAACAAGCGCCGAATTAAGTGACAAAGACAGATTTGAGTACTTTGTTCGCACGGTTCCACCAGATTCTTTTCAAGCCCGTGCCATGGTAGACATCATCCGTCATATGAACTGGACAGCGGTTTTCGCAGTTTATTCACGTGGTAGCTACGGTGAACAGGGTATGTTGATTTTTCAGGAGTTTTGTGAGCAGCTTAACGTGTGCATTGCCGACCATCGTCTTCTGGAACCAGACTTCACCGAGGCAGAATACGATAAGTTGATAGAGAGATTTCGTAAGGAAGAAGGCACTCGAGTTGTGGTGATGTTTTGTAATTCCGAAGATCTGCGTTCAATGCTTCAAGCTGCCAAAAGAGCGGAAAACCGAGGCATCAAAAACCCTTTTTTGTGGTTGGCGAGCGATTTTTGGGGGACAAGACTTGGTCACGTGGAAGGCTTAGAAGACATTGCGGATGGTGCAATCACTATTGAGATTCAAACGTTCGATAGACAGTTAAAACCATTCTATGATTATTTTTCGAAACTAAACCCACTAAATAACTCGCGAAACCCTTGGTTTAAAGAGTACTGGGAGAAGCGTTTCGATTGCAAATTTGGAAACGAATCGTCTCCGTCTTATCGCTGCAACGACTCAGAAAACCAGTCTTCAGTCCTTCAGAGGTTTGACGCTAAGGTGCCGTTTGTCATTGATGCGGTTTTATCGTTTGCTCATGCGCTCCACAATCTTCACAGAAACGTCTGTGGAGAAGCCCCTGGTGTTTGTCCCGAAATGAAAAAACTGGATCGCACGGCGCTGCTGTGGTACCTTCGGAATGTTCCTTTTAATGGAACAACGGGGCTGGTAAAGTTTGATGTTAATGGTGACAGTGCTGGAAAGTACGACATTTACGTTTACAGAAACGCGCGTAAAAATTCTTACGAAAGGTTAGGCAGCTGGATTGAAGGAAAGCTGACGTTTGACCCCAATGGTACTTTGCAGGGGAAAGATTACATTGAATCGCAATGCGGTAAGCCTTGCGGTCCACAAGCTATAAAGCGCATACGCGATACACGCTGTTGTTGGACATGTGAAAAGTGTGACGATGACTCGTACGTAGCCAACGAGTTCACGTGTCAGACATGTGTCCAAGGCATGCACCCTAATGCCACTTTTAATGGCTGTGAACCACTAAACAGAGAACACCTCCGTAGTGTGTGGATCGCAATCGTCATCTCTCTTGCGTCGCTTGGCATCATTGCCACTTCCCTGGTATGCGGAGTTTTCATTAAATTCGCTGACACGCCACTCATAAAAGCTTCGGGGCATGAGCTCTCGATTGTACTCTTCATGGGATTGTTTTTATGCTACAGTTTCGCGTTTGTCATGGTCTCCTATCCAAGTAAAGTCGTGTGCGCGATTCAAAGACTTGGAATGGGACTTTGTTTTAGTGTTTGCTATGCTTCCCTGCTCGTCCGCACCAACAGAATCGCGCGAATATTCAGCGGTGTGAAAACTCCATCTTTTATCAGTCCGAGGTCTCAGCTTTTCATAACCGCAGTAATAATTGCACCACAGCTCGCCATGATTATAACAGGTCTCTTAATCCGTCCTCCTGGTCCCGTATCTTCTTTCAAGTACAAGGACTTCGTACTTGTCAAGTGCAATATACACACTGTTGGTGTGGTGGCTTTATTTGGATACAACTCCGTTTTAATTGTGCTATGCACGTTTTATGCATTTAGAACTCGAAAGACGCCGTTGAATTTTAACGAGGCAAAGTTCATCGGTTTCTGTATGTACACAACCTGCGTCATATGGATTGCTTTCGTGCCTGTTTATTATGGAATCGGTGGAGGGTTTGAAGCAGTAGCCCTCGCCTTTAGTGCTGTAATTAGCGCAACTACTATTTTGATATTTATTTTCATGCCTAAAGTGTACATTGTGGTATTTAAACCTGAAAAGAACATAAGAAGCAACTCCAGGCTCAGGTCGAGGACAAAATCTTTGGACTTTAATATATCCTTCAGCATTGAGGATTGTAACGGTGAGTCACGCGATTTTACGCGTAATTCAATTTGCGCTCAAGAAGGTTCACGGAAATATATTCTGTAATTGATTTTTTGAAATAAAACCTCGGTCAGGTAATGGGTTAGTGCCTGTTTACATGGAGGTGTGGGACCCCAGATAGGGAAGGTAACATGTGACGGGCACCCCACCTATCATGTAAACGTGATCAAATAAAATGAGAGATTATATGGACAGGCGGGTCTCCCCATCTAAACAGGTTACCTCACCTACCTGGGTTCCCCCACCTCCATGTAAACAGGCATTTACTCATGTGAGAAATGATGAAAAGTAGGGTCAGCCATTTACAGTGCGACCGGGAAAACCTTGAACACTTGAAATATATCAGGAATGTTTATAGTGTTATGACCAATCACACCAAAGATCAGAACGCGCGAACTAGCCACAAAACCATAAACTAATTAACGTTCTTGCTTGCGGTTCAGTTTTCTCACGCCTGATTGGCTTTTTTCTTGCAACACAATAACATTCCAGAAATATTTCCGGTGTTTACGGTTTTCCCGGGATGAGAAATCGACGCTCGTAACATTGTGACCTGTCGCCCCATGCAAGGAATTCCAGACAGTCTTGGATCCTGGATTCCAGGAAGTGGATTTCAGATTCTTTGTCAGTGAAAGTTGGATTTTGGATTCCAATCCTTAGTAACTTTTGATGACTTTCGCGACCCCCCATGCCTTCATTTTCAGGGCAAATTTGAGTGGTCCCCCGTCTGAATCTTTCCAAAGTTTTTAGCGATGCCCCCTTTTGGGTTCTCAGTTACGACTGATCCCCCTTTTGTTCTCCCAAAAATCAAGTGATCCCCCCTAACATCCTCCGTCCCCCGCCCCGCCTCCCCAGACGATAAATAATGACGGGTCCCTTTGGTCTAAATAAACACTTAGGGTCAAATTCATATTAGGGAACCTTCACCGTCATAAGAAACTGATATTAAAATCATGACAAATATCGTTTAAATCACCATTCAATCTAGAACAGACTGTTTAAAAAAATAGGAGACGAAGGCCAGTTGTCATTTCGTTCAAAGTTCCTTCTAGCGCTGTTTTGAGTTTTCTTCCCATAATGAAGTATGACTAGAAACAGATTTGGGTCGTTTGTTTGTTGCCCAGTTAACGCCAGTAACTCTTAATTATTGAGCTTCTTTTATGTCACCTCAGGTCAAGCATATGGTAACCCAACACACAGTTTGCCTCCAACGCCAAGCATGATATCAAAAAACAAAGTCATAAGGAAAAATTCCTCACCGAAGCCAGTCCTTCTGCAGGTTCAGCGCCTCACAGCCATTTGAATTGCAGTCAATATCGTTAATTTTTCCATGTGAAGTATAAGCTTGAGAGTAGAATAAAAAAAATAAAGATCACAAATAGCTCTGTATTCCTCTGTTACCAACCTGCGTCGATGTCAGAACAGTTGAGAACGAAAGAAAAAATCGAGCCAGGGGAGAAGGAACGGCGTTCCATCCCCTTTTTATTTTTGCCCCAGTCTCCCCTCGTCTTTTCCCTCGGTTTTTTATAAATATTTTTTTGTCCGCAAATTACTACTTAAACGCCTGAAACGGGTTACAGAAATGAGTACTTGTTTTCTGGCCAGATAAGGGCTAATAGCTGGTTTTGACGTTGTATTTGTAATTCAACCAGCTATTTGCAATGCCCCAACCAAACGAATGTACGTTAACCCCGCATTCAAGTGAACAACTCGGCCTTGAATTTGAGAGCACCTTAAATGGTTTTTGATCATTTCAAAATCCCTATTGCTGGTTTGCAGGTGACGTCACGGCGGCCATGTTGGTAGTCAAGAACAAAAACAATTCTCTCCGCTGGGAACTAAACTATTTTTTCTATTTTTTTCGAGAAAAATTTCTATTGTATTTTACCACCAACATGGCCGCCTTGTCACGTGGTTGCAAACCAAGGATATAGCTACAATCATGCATTTAGTGAGGTTAATACGGACACCGAAAGTGGATTTTTATCCCATTAAAAATGTATTAGAAGCAAAGATTAACACAGTTATAATCCTGGAAATTAATTTAGACAGATAGAAGCCGCTTTAATGCAGCTGAGAGACTTTTTTTGAGGGAAAAAATAACATGAGCATTTCAAACAGTATCAAAAATAGTCTTTCTTATTTCTGTCGAAAGTCGAGGTTTAGATATGATTGTAAGAATTCTCGAGAATCAATTGCGGAAGGTAGCGTGTCAGTTATGATGGTTTCACAGCTTGAAACAATTTCTCCCTCCGAGATGCATATCAAAATAAGGGAAAATATGCAAATGAAGACAAATCACATGATTACTTAAACACACGTACTTCAGTGAAGAACTTGTTTGAAATTTAATGTGCGTTTCTCTTCGCTAGAATCCAAAGCAAACTGCGCCTTAAAACATTCAGTCGGTTAGTCAATAAATTTCATATAATAAACATTCGAGAGCAGATACACATGTAAAAGCGTTTCAATTTATTTTTGTTTTTACCACCAACGAAGGTGCTAGTTTAATCACTTAAGCTCTTTGTCTTAATTAAGAGATTTCTATCAAAGGTCATTAAATGACACACCCTAAACATTGTTTATTCTCTCATTCAGAATCGGGGATTTTTGTGCGGCGTCTTTTTGAATCAAAGAAAGAAAGTGTTATATAACCTAATTACGGAAAGTGTAGTGTTTGGAAGTAATTCAATATTCCTTTAATTTCTACTGTTAATGCATTTGGCATAGGTTTAGATGAACTGACGCGTCAATTTTGGACTTACGGAACTGTCACGTCGAGTTTTCGACACTAAAACAATGACTGTACAACAGAGATTATTAGTTAGTGTTTTCGTTTCAGGTAGGGCTGTTTTATACTAGCCAATGGCGAGTCTTCTCGATTCTTCCTTTTGTTCTAAATAGCTGGTGGGATATTAATAATACATTCGTCTTCTTTCAAGGACAAACTGGAGACCCTGCTAAACCTGTGAGCTCGAGAAGTTTCTCATGGAATAATAGTGCCTTTGACTCTCGCTTCAGGTAACGAGGTACTCTAGCGGTAAATAATCTGTTTCAGATTTGAAATTGTTGGTAGCATTAGACATTTGCTTGGAATGCGCAAGTGTATTGAACACATCACGCTTGCATTTCGCAATCCTCGGACGAGTTATCCGCAATTTGAGTACGGCGAAAACTAAAAAAAACATGAAATTTCTTGAGAAATCTCCGCGCAGGCTAGTGAATGTAGTTACGACTCAACGTGCAGGTGGAAAACTTACGCATTACCTGACAACTTGAGCATCGGGCATGTACAGTTTTTGTGTCAATTCAATTGTGTTGCAGAGGTCGTGTTGAATGGGACATTAATAATTACAAAACTCACTGAGGACACCTTGTTTTCAACTTTTAAATTCGCGAATTGTTCGCGCAATTTAATGCTAGATTTGTCATTGGAAGAACCAATTAGAGATTATTCGGTTAGAGGCGAATTCAAAAAAATTGCTTAGCCCGTAAGTAGTTGTTTGTTTAATAGCACTATCTAAAAATGAAATTACAGACTCGCCACTATAATAGTCACCTAGCGTTCCGGGGAATATCCTCACAATTATGGTGACTGAATATCCTCAGTATTTACAGTGTTTAAGACCTTGTCAAGCGTTCTCGACTGACGCCACTTCACGAAAACTGAAAAAAGTGCACGATATTCTTGTTAGCACCAGGTACGAACCAGCAAGTGATATTTAAATGTTACTGGGTAGACATAACATGTTTGCTTTCGACTACTACACCACACAAAATATAATCAACTCAGCCTCCTTTGTTTATATCCTTGTACTTTTTTGTATTGATAATCAGGAAAAATTAAGGATATGCCATCTAAATGAAGTGTTCGAATTTTCGCACGCTCTCTATTCGGGCTGTTCAAATGTATCCTACGTTAAACCATGTTTCAGTTATTAAACATTTCTTGACAATTCGTATTTATCATACATTTGGTCAAACAAGAAAGATACAGTGGTATGAAACCCTTTTTCTAATATTCAGTAAATTAACGCTGGAAAAAATACGATTTCTCTAAGATCTTTAATATAATGACATGGTAATTTCCTTTATTAAAATCTGAAAAATGCTATGAGAAACCCCACATGAGTAATTTCCATTTCAATGTGGATTTCGTGATCAGTTTCTTGATCAGTTTTTCATCGGAAGGAAGCATTAAATTAATAACGTCAACAAATCTTCTGACAACTTCATAAATGATCTTAGCTCTTGCAAACAAAACACAAACACAAACACTGGACTGAGGTCTCCCGGCCTGATCTCTCATTTTTTTATTGTCTTGACTTTGGAATCATAAAAACTAACAAAGGTTTAATGTCATACTTCGATTTCCAAATCGAGCATTGTGGAGAATTTGAATTTGTTGCATTTCATATTTGATTCTCAGTGCGCTGACTTCACAAACTGAATCTACAACGAAACCTGAACCTGTAGTGAGCGGAAACCCTCAGGGCACTTAAGACTTTATGTATAGTAGAGTTAGTGTCACAATAGAAATAGAAACTTGGGGACTTACTCAAGCTTTTACTGCTGAGCTGCTGTCAACTTGCAGCCAGATGGTCAATTACTTTGACCATTTTTACGTCGTTTCAACAAGCTGTGCTGTGTCAAAATACACACTCGTGCAAACAGCTGGTAAATCGGAGTTTGAATCGAAAACAATTTGCAATTGCGAGAAAAAATAAGCAGACATAAAAAAGAAAAAAATAAGTGATAGTTTAAGCCGATTCAGTTACCATAAAATTCCGAAAATAAGCTCCGGGGCTTATATTTTTCAAAGGCCCTTTTTGAGGGGCTTATTTTTGGAGGGGCTTATATCTAGGGAGAGAAATTTGCGTTTCAAAATCAGTTGGGCTAGCCTTATAGTTGGAAGTAAATTTACCGTTTTTGCTTTGTTTTGCTTCGTATTTGAGGACAATTTCCGAGTTCAAGTCCCCGGGGGGCTTATGTTT